AATATATTTGATCATATTTAGATTCTCTATCCTGTCTATACATCCTTTATAGCCCCATTATATATATATATATATATATGTATGTATATTATACATATACCTCCCCAGAGCTGCAAATCAGTGGGCTGATGGAGTGACCAGCTGCATGGCCATTTGCTTTATTTGTTCCAGGCATGTAATAAAGAAAATATTAACAAAGCAAAAAGAGTAAAAAAAATATGCTGTTCCTTGAACTCTAATAAGTCCTCTTAAATTAAATGTTATTCTTTGGGGGCTGGAGAGATGGCTTAGCAGTTAAGAGCATTGGCTGTACTTGGGTTCAGTTCCCAACACCCACATGGTGGCCAACAATTGTCCATAACTCCAGTTCCATGGGATCCAACACTCTCTTCTGATCTCCACAGGCATTGCATGATAAGGGTGCACTTACACATATGCAGGAGGTACACTTTTACAGTGTTGTTACGCGGTTGGTACACGAATGATCCTCTTTAATGTGCTGTCTTTAAGACCTTTTGTTTTGAGGTTTTTGTTTTGTTTTTGACAGAGTCCTGCTATGTAGACCTGGCTGATCTAGTACTTTTAACTCGAATTTTGAACATGCAGCAGTCTTTCTGTTTCTGTATTTCCAGTGTTTTCTAGATTTCATTGGTGGGGAGGCTTCCTTTATGTCCTGATAAAAATCTGATGTCTAGTTTTTTAAAACTCTGAAAACAAAATTATCAAACATCTAATTAAACATATAAAATATAGCAAGTCTCTTAGTAATCAGAGGAATTCCAATTTAAATTGCAGTGAAATAAATGGAGTGGCAAAAACCTCAAGTGTGGGGTTGGAGAGATGGCTCAGTTGTTAAGAGCACTGATTGTCCCTACAGAAGACCAGGGTTTGGCTCCCAGTACCCACATGGTCAGGCTAACAACTGTCCATAACTCCAGTTCAGAGGATACAATGCCGTCTTCTGTCCTAAATAGTCATTGCACGACATAGGTGCACTTACATACATGTAGGCATAACACTCGTATACATAAAATATATACACCCATGGTACAAGTTTGCAGGTCAGAGGAAAACTTGCATGAGTCAGTTCTCTCTTTCCACTTGTGGGTTCCATGGATATAACTCAGGTCCTCAGGCTTGGTAGCAAGCACTTTACACATGGAGCCATCTTGCCAGTCCATGACTGTTTTTCATATTGAGAAAACAAAAATTACTCTTTGTGATTTTCAAGAGCAGAAGACGCTGTTGTTTTGTAACAATTTATCGCAAAGAACCAATAAAGTTGTAGGAAATGATCGTGCTAAAAGAATTTCTACTGCAAAGTTGTATTTCAAAACAAGAAACAACGTAATGTTCAAAAATAAAGGCAACTAAATAAAATTTTGTACCACTCTCTAATCTCTAGCAATGGCCATCAATAAAAATGATAGATCTGTTTACTGGCATGGACAAACGAGTAGTGTTGGTAGTCAAGACAAGACTAGGGCTTTGCAGGTAGAGGACATCAGTTACAGAAAAGGTGGGTTGACTGACTTGAACTAAGGTCTAGAGACACAATGTGTTGAGAGTGAACAGAGGCATCAAATCCTATAGATCATGTGCCTAGTTCCACCTTGGACATGTTTCCTAACTGCTCAGGATGCTCACCTCTAAAGTGAGGGCAGCAATAGTTCTTGCCTTACAGAACTGTTTTCAGAGTAAACAATGGAAGACGTGAACTCACAATGGACCCTTGGCACAATAGCAAATGTCAATCATTACACCATCATCACTGTCATCCTCCTCTGTGTTTCAAGTTAGATGTTTCTAGCTTTAGTTTAATTTCATGCTTTGTTAATCACTTGCTCTATGGTTATGATCATGCTATTTTATCTCTAGGTTGTATTTTTAATGCATAAAATAAAAATAGTAAAATCTGTCTCATAAGGTTGTTTTCTTTAATGATGTAATAAATATTAAAGACAGCAAAGCACTTGGGACATCATAAATGTTCACTCTATATTAATTGTTGTTACTTTTGCTTTATGAAATGGACATTTCCATTAAGAAAATTTAGTATAATTCAGCTTTTTAAATGTGCAGGAAAATTTGTTTGTACATAGAGAATAACATTTGGAAAGAAACCATAAATATCTATTGTTTGAAGTACTCATTTACTGTCTTTATCATCATTTTCCACCTTTTCCATAGTGACTTGTGCTCGTGAGCAAGTCACACACACACACACACACACACACACACACACACACACATTCTAATCTGCATTAAGAAGAAGGCTATAATTGGTGAACCTCTAAGGGGTCTGGATTATAGTCTTACAGGCCTAAGGTTAGGGAGAAGGAAGGGCTAGAGTGACGAGGGGGAGCAGGGAGAAAGTGACAGCAGACATGGCGTACACTGCTGTCTTATCATGTTTCGGTCTGGCTTCTTTCTCCTTAGGGTTTCCCTTTCTAGTTAATTGCTAATTAGTGTTCTAAAGCAGCACTCTAAAATGGATGCTAATCAATCACTGTTAGAATTTACTAAATTACTGGGAACATATTTTCTAAAAAGATAAAGCAGGCTCTGGCCCATCATTCTTCCTGGAAAGAGCTATACCAGAGAAATCAAGGCAAGGATAATTCTGGGTCAAGACATAAGCTATGCATTTTGCATGTTTCTTTTGGAATATAATGGGAAACATTTCCAACATCTTGGGCAAACTAAATTGGTTTAGAGCCCTTTACGAACCACAAGTGACAATATTTGCTATATATGTTTCAGCCCTCCCCTTCTCCCTCCCTGAAGTCAAGCAGAGCTTGATTTAAATTTAAACTTCCCATTCCAGATTATGAATTATTAGCCATATGGACCTTCACAAATTGCTGAGTGTCTGACTCTTTCATTTAAGATGATGACAAGCATAATGTGCCTCATGAGGCTGGTTGAGAAAAAAAATGAATAAATGGGTAAAAGACATTTTACACATCATCTGGTCCACAGAAAGAATTTGATAAATATTAGCAATTGTCCACGAAAAAAGTGAATGTGGGGAGGTGAATGGGATTTTGCCTAGATTTCAATTTTCAGTTCTACTCTATGAAAAGAATAGAAATGATGACTTTCAAAAAAAAATCAAATTACACAGATATACTTAAAATTATTGGGGAGAAGAAAGAAAGGTGTCTTCCCTTCATTTCCCTCACCATGGAAACAAGCCCTAGAAACCCCAGATGCACACTTTCTGATTTGGCTCCAAGAAAATAGCCCTTAATATGAAAACCCAGGAAACCTGCAGAAAAAAAAACGATCAGATCAGCAGGCTTGGAGATTCCCTTTTATCCCTGGAGTACCATGGATTTTAGGCAGATAATGGGCTGAATAATATGAGTCCATTATTTTAGAAGTGACAAAGGAGATTTATTTCCCCCACTGGTCATTGAAAACCATGAAATTTGCAGCTGTTCAAATATTATATAAAAATAAGGCTTATTTTTTCCCCCTATAGAAGATCTTGTGGTCTTGTGGTGGCCTTTCGGGCAAAGGCTCTCTCTCTCTCTCTCTCTCTCTCTCTCTCTCTCTCTCTCTCTCTCTCATCTCTTCCTGTTTTTCTCTTTCCTCTAAGAAAATGGCGTTGCTCTTTCCCTTGATTTCCAAGTTCATACATCTATCCATGTCATTCTCTGACCATATCTAGTTTATACTATTCATTCTACCCCTAACTTAATCCCATCAGTTCAAAAAGCTTTAACAGTTTAATTAGGACAGACGCGCCGGGGGATTTTATTCTTCTATCATCTGCTGGCAAAGGTGCTTTGTCTAAAGTCTTGCTTTAACCAGTTGATAATTGCCCTGCTGATGACCCAGTACATTTTCATCCCTTTTACTTATTATATCACTTCAAATATCTTAAAGCCACCACTAAGAATTTTGAAAGCAGTTTCATGCTTGATTCAGCGCTTTCTCACCCACCTCACTAGATTAGATTCTGATACTTTGGTGTAGATATCAGAGGACTGGTCTAGTACTTACAGATCTCTTCCTCCTATTTCCTAGAAAGCACTGTTTTTTTCCAGACATGGAAGAGGGACAGCAGTTTGGGGAATCCTGCAACAGGCATGATGACTCTGGCACAGGGTTGGTAAGGTTTGTCAAACCTCAGCCTGCATAGCTGAATTACCTAATGAGTTTTTTCAACTGCTTTTGTTTTATTATAGAGTTTAGTATTCCATTACGTTCTGCTATAGTCTTTAATTATGCCACATATCTCACACATCCTGAAATAAATGTTAAGTGGTTGTGGTACTTTACATATTTTCCCCCCTTTCACCAGAGAAGCTTCCTCACGCAACAGATAGTGGTTAACACAGAGACTCACAACTGGTCAACCTGCAGACAACAAGAGATTGCAGGATGCTTATGTCTGAATCAGACACCTGTATCAAACTTCTGCCTCCCAAGGCTCATGGATCATTGTGGAAAGGGGGTGGAAAGATTGTAAGAGCTAGAAGTGGTGGATGACCACAAGGAAACAGAGTTTCCAGACAGCTGGGCAGTTACTCATCTGAACTCATAGCAATGGTGACAGCATCAAGAAGTCCCAGATAAGCTCAAGCCAGACAAAATCCCAGCATAGACATGGGAAAGTGGCTAAGAAGCCCCATCCCAACCTGAGGAGCTGTTAGCAACTGATGGCTGCTGCAATGGGGAGAGTCATTTTCACTTAGAGGTGAGATTCTTGGCAAACTATCCAGGCTCCGGTGGATGGACCCACACCAAAAGACATTTGAGGACACAAATTTGGCTCTATAGGCTTGAAGTGGGCAGGAGGTAGTAAGAGGGAGGTGCAGATAGGAGAGAGGATTTAAATTCAATCAAAATGTATTATAATGTAACCTAATGAGTTTAAGCCTGATGATGACATGGACTCCTTCAGAAAGCCTGATACAGTTAGTCAGTACTGGGACTGCTAGCATCTCCAATCAGTCCTAAGATGGGAATGTCCCTTCCATGCCATATCCCAGCACTGTAGGGACCCATATGAAGCTGGACTATATGTGCTACATAGTCCTCCAAACATACTCAAGTTCTATGTCCTAATCCTAAGACTTAGTATCCCCCAAACCCACCAAACACCATGGGCAACTATGGTCTGTTAGCTCAGGAAGCAGTCAGCAAGTCCAGCAACCAGACAGACATCTAAACAAAAATTGAATGCTAAGACCCTCTTCTTAGAATTTACAGATAATTATTTGAGACTTGACTCACTTGACTTAGAAGCACATGGAAAAGTGAAGAGATGCCTTATTGTGGGTACTGTGTGGCTCCTAGTGCATAACAGTTCTCTTCTATATTTTCTAGGGTAGACAGAAGATAGATCAAATTCTGCTAAAATTGTGTCTATCTGCAGATGAAGGCATCTAAAAGCTGAAGTTATAATTTGTAGTTGATTTGTTTCTACAATTAAATGTGAGCTCTCAAAGGATGTTTTCCTCCTAATCCCACACCCTTAGTCACCCCTTAGTAAATTCTAAATTATCAAGGCAAAAGTCAGTTCTACATATCACTATAAACAAAGGCATGAAAATAATTTGATAGTTCTAAGGTATAATTTTCTCTTCTTTTAAAAACTAGCATGTAATTTTTATGACAACAAAGTTGAAGGTAATTTTGTAACTGGGAAGGTACTTTACACACTTTACTGCCCTGTGTATGCAGCACAATTTTATTTAAGTAAGGCTAAAATTGATATTTTTGTCACATATTACCATACTTCTTATTACTGTTCCTGCTCTTTGATTCCATTTATCCTCTCCTACTAGTATGTAGTTTTCATGCAGAAGAGACTTTATATGTGTTGGTTGTTATGAGTCACTAACATCTAAGACTCCTGCAATACACAATTAGTAGCCATTTGTTGAATTAATAGTTTTTGTTAAGAAATACATAGAAACTTAATTAGTTCATGAAACAGTAGCTGCAGCATATGATCAATGACCCTGATGAATCAAAATTACCATGTGTAACTTGCTAATGGAGATACCTTAGCCTCAATTCAAAGCCATTAAATCAGTAGCTCCCCAGGTAAAGCAAATCAGGAAGGGGTTTGTCTTGGTTAGCTACAAGTCACTACTGATTTGACCCACAGTGAATGATGTCTAGAAAAATAAGGAACAGAACTTTTGCTCTTAGAAACTGGGGCCACTCATACCCATGTAAGGCTTGGTGCCAGCCATGGTGGTGATCCGAGTCTCCTTGGGCAGCATGGCAGCAATGTTGAAATCTGTGATGTGTACATGCCCTGGGGATAAAGAAAGACCAGGAGAATGTTAAATCCCTTCAGCCTAGTAGAACAATAGATCATTCATCTAACTGAAAGCCTCTTAGCTCTTGTATGCTAGCTGCAATTGAGTTCAGGCAATACAAACCCCCTTATTCCCAAATAATAGTGACCAACCTGGCAATATATGCAATTGGAGCAATAGTGACATGAATGTTATGGGTGGAACCAAACACATTCTGATTAGACTTAAGACATGCTCCACAAAATGGCACCTTTATTGGGGCCTACAACCAGTGGCTAGACCTAAGCAGGTTGTGGACCCTAGCCTGGAGTACCTACTGCTATTATTCTGCTAAATGGAGATAGTGTTGAACCAGCTCCTAATGATTTATCATTATACCCATTGAATAGTGCGTCTGTCTAACATCATCAGAGAAACTTCTTTTTTTTCCTTAGATGGGGATTAACAAAGACCCACAACTGGCCACAGTGCAGTGAATAAGAGACTGTAGAGTGTTCAACCTTAAGTGGGACATCTATATCACACTCCCTCTTCCTAAGGCTCAGCGATCATTGCAAAATAGGGGGTGGAAAGATAGTGAGGGTCAGAAGTTGTGGATGACTAAACCTAAACAGTGTTTTCCAGACATAATAGGGCAGTTGCACCTATGGACCCATGTAGTTGTGACAGCATGCAAAAGACCTGCATATATTCAAGCCATGTAAAATCCCAGCATGGAGAGGGGAGATGGCCATAAATGTCCACCTCTAGCTGAGTATCTATTGGCAGTGATGGCTACTGGAAGAGCGAGAGCCTGTTTTCCTCAAGATTATGGCCCGTGGTAGGTTGAAGATGCTACAGTGGATGGCCACACACCCAAAAATATATAGATTGGATTCAGTGGTTTTCTTTTTTAATGAGGACACAAGCTGGGTGGGTAGGGGAGGCAGATGACTCTAGGAGGAGGTGGGTAAATTTGATCAAAATACATTGTATAAAATTCTTAGAAATAAAATTAAGAGCCTCCCTTACACAGGCAGATGACTCTGGGAGGAGGTGGGTAAATTTGATCAAAATTCATTGTCTAAAATTCTCAGAAATAAAATTAAGAGCCTCCCTTATACCATCCTCATGGCCAACGGGGTCTCCAAGTATGTTCTGCAGCAGTGAGAACATGACATAAACTTGTAGTTTGACCTCATAAAATTTGACACTTAGTTGTATAGTTTATGCTCTAGTAAATCTACTTGGGCAATTTTTGTCTGTGTGAACCAGTCTAGATTATTTAGCCTGTAAGAGGCAGCCAGAAGCTATTGTAAGCATCTCTTATGGGATCTTTACAAAACAAAAAGAGGCAGAATGTCTACACACTGGCACAGGTGTGGACTCACATTTTTGGTCAAGAAATCATCTCTGTTCTTGCATCTTAAAACACCATTTGCATGTGTGAGGGGGACACATTAAGATTATTTTTTCTTAAGAGGGATTGTATTATGAGCTCTAGACTGAGGGTCAAGAGACCTAGTCTGTTCTTTGACCTCTGGCCTTAACACATAGTAAGCTTCAAGTCGTTTTCTCCCAAGTATGTTTATATTAATTAGCAAAAGCAAGAATTTCAAGCTGGACATGGTGGTTCAAGACTGAAATCCCAGCACTTGAAAGACTGAAGCAGGAGAATTTCTGGGATTTGGGGGTAGCCTGGGCTACACACAGTAAGTTCCAGGTTTCATAGGTAGAGCCTAAATTTCCTTTTAATAATAATAATAATAATAATAATAATAATAATAATAATAATAATAAAGAATAGTTAGAAAAGATGACCTGTAGGGTATCTTTTAGTTGTAAAGCAGCAGTAAAATGTGTGATTAACACTTAAGTGTGGTAGGGAATACACCTTACCTAGTGTTCTAGGATCCTTGCACTTAAGCTGGAAGGAAGAAAGATGCAGCACAGGAAACTCAAACCAACAAGCCAGTTCTGTTATTTGTTGGTACAACTGTCACTGGCTTTCTGAGCATCGTGAAGTGATATTATTCCCATTTACATGTGTTTGTTGTTTTGATGAGACAGAATTACAGCCAGAATAGCACCTGATTCTCTGTCCAGGGTCCTTCGTCCAAACTTCACCAAACTTTACCATCTGCTGCTTTCTGTAGCATCCAGCCCACTGCTAAGGAACACTCTCACTATCTCTATCAACTCAGTTTTGTTTTGTAGAGAAAATGTTTTCTTTTTTATGCAACATTTTAATAAAGTAAAAGTAGCATTCATAAAATTAAAAGTTAAAATATTCTTGTTCAAATCACGTCAATGAATGACTTCAATTACTCTCCTTAACACAGTGTAAGGTGTCGTAGTCTCTTTCTTTCTCACTTCTCTCCATAGGTCCTACTCCACGTATTGGATAGCCCTTTTGAGATTTGATATAAATTTGGTGGGCCTGTCAGGGCTGTGGTTAGCAGTCTTTTTTCTGGAGTCATAACCCTTGGCTTTAACCCCAGTCTCCATCACTATAGCTGTGTTACCTGGAAAAGCCACTCGTGCTGTCTGACAGTTGTCCTCTCACCAGGTAAGGGGATGCGAAAATGAAATGAAACAGTGACTAAGGGAGACTTAGCACTCGTCAGGGTATCTGAATTATTTACGATCATTATTAGAAAAATCAGTCTAGTTTTTGTAAAATACATATGCGTGTACTTCAGTCCCCTGCAACTCCAACAGGATGGGTAGGAAAGCCCAGAATCCGCATTAAAAACAACAAACAGGTGAGTCAGATGAGCAGCCAGACTTGTAACCCTCTACTGGAGCCCAAGTAGGTTTTCTAAGATCCTTCCTGAGGCTAGGTACACTCAACTTGAAGTAGAACGCAAAGGATGGTTTGGGCTCACCTGCTTCCTAATGTATGTTCTTTGAATCAGAAGGGTCAATGTCTCCTGGGTACTTGTTAGAAATCTAAAACTCTGAGCCTCTCCAGAATATAAAGTTGGGCTCCAGCATTTAAACAAGCCCTCCTGTTGACTCTGAGCCCACAGGAAGTTTGAGATTATTGTTTTGAAAGTAGACCTGCTTTAATGGAAGGTCTGGCTCTAATCAACACTGCTTATTTAGCTGTTGAATTTGTCTGAAAGAATGTGGGATATTTATCATATTAGCATCTTTATGATTCCTTCAATTTTCAAGACACAATTGGAGCTGGTCCTTCAGCCCAGTGAGATGGCCCCTGTTTGGTAGATGAATTGTTTATGGCTAAGTTTGCAGGAGTCAGAAGTGGCAGCACTGAATTGAGATTTGATGGTTTAGGATCTTGACATTGCTCTAGGGAGGTTTGGTGCAGGTTTTGAATCTCCAAAACACATGTGTTATATCACAAAATCAAAGAACGAAATGATCGAAACAACTAGTTTTTGATTGACTCAGAGTTTTCCCTGCTTGGATGCCTTGTAAAGAATGAGAAGGAATTATCTGAGGTCCAGAACTTACTGGGTACTCTAGCTGGAACCCTTGCGTTAAGTAAGGAGACATCTTCCCCGGAGGCATGGTGCTAAACCTAGTTCCCACAGATGCTGCTGTACTTCGCTTTACTCACCATGCCGGATTCTTATCTGTGCTGTGAAGGAGACTTGCAGTGCTAGGTTACATGGGAGGGTTCACTTTGCTGCTGATTGAAGGACATAGGAATTTCCTTGAAAATGAGGAAACTTTCCGGCTTCTTTAAAAATCTAGGACTCCACATGACTCTTAGAGTTTCTCAACCTTGGAACTACTGATATTAGATTCAGCAATTCTTTACCATGAAGCTGATCTGCCCACAGAAAATCAGTCTGAATTTTCATGCCAATCAGGGTATTTTCCACTTGCCTTCAAAGGTAAGAACAGTTTCTTTAGATAATCCAGACTGTAATTTGTTTGATTTACCCAACAGAGGTGTTGGACTCTTAGGAATTTGTTAAAAACACAATGTTTTTAGACAATGTGGAGGTGATAGAATTGGATTGGCCACTTCTACTAGTAGGATGTGAAAATATATTATCAGGGCAGTTCGTTATTAGTCATTCAAGACCTGTTGCCCTCTTGGCTCTGCTCCAGTAAATGAGATATCTGGGGAGAACCGCAACTTGTATCCTCAAAACCAAAAACATTTTTATCTCAACTGCTGATTATAAGGAATGTTCATTTACATTGTGGAAAGATTCTCCATCTTGTATGCTCACACATGAATGCCAGCATTTGCTGATTGAATATGAACAACATGATTCATAAGAACAAAATAAAGTTTCTTCCTATTACCGAGTGCTGGTTAATCAAAATCTAAGCCACTGGGCTGGATACAGAGTTCACTGGGAAAGATGGGCATAGAAGGCATGTCAGAAAAAATACACAGCTACCCTTCAAAATTGCTAAAACCCCCATGCAAGAGATGAAATACTAAAAATATGGGTGGAAAAGATCAGTGAAGCTTCAAATATAAGTGTCACAGAAAATCAGAGCAGCAGATACTCCAAAGGGCAGGCACCAATTTGCAGTTCAGCTGGTTTTCATAAAAGCAAGGACATCACGAGGAAATGGGCTCAGGAATTCATCCACTTAAATGTGATTAATTTTGGCTCATGAGCAGTGCTAAAGTCCTAGCTTTTCCTTAATCTAAGTGTAAATAAAATAACTTCGAAACATTGTTTTATCTAGAAAATGATTCCTATGACAAAGTTTAAAGGATGCCTCTCAACCATTTTTATTTGTTTTACTTTTATCTCATACACTCTTTCCAGAGCATTTTTATTTGTTTGCTTTATTAATGGCAGCAGTTCTCAAGTTGAATTCAGGATAGAAACACCACATAGAAAAATTTCCTTTGAATTCACTGTTTAAATAAAAATAAAAACTTGAGAGGGAAACGGGTCATTGGAAATAACCTATCATCTGAGAGACTGGACATGTCTGTCAGGAAGGCTAGGTTGACAGCTCATGCTCCCTAAGCAACAAATTCCTAGCCCCACCAGGATTAAAATATCAAGAACAGTGACCCTAAGTCCCTGTATACATGGAGGAAATCAGAATGGACAGTGGAGTTACTTGAAGATTAAGGTTAAATAACCTTGCTTAAACCCAGGGTACAGCAAGAAAACAAGTAAGATCTTTGACATATCACTTCTGAGAGTCAAGTAATTATCTGGGGAAGACAAGTAAGCACTTAACTTTCACAGACTCCATTGGATAGAGATATGGATGAAAGCAAATACACGTTGCCCTAGCCAAAGCCACAGAGATTTGAAGTAGTCCTTAGCTGGCTCAGAAAGTTCCTGCTACCTCATGAATGTCATAATCACATTTGATTAAGTGGTTTCTTTATGGCAGGCATTTGCATCAAGCACTTTGTAAGTACTGTGTCAGTGCTTGTAATGAACCCCAAGAAGTAAGTATTCTCCTGTTTTCTAAAGAAGCGAGGTAAAAACAATGTTTAGTCAACCTGACCAAACTCTTGGAGCTAGTGAGTAATGAGTTGGGTTTTATATTAAGGCGTTCTGGCTCTAGCATTCATACTTTAAATTATAGCATCACAAAGATCAGCCTTTCACAAGGTTAGGCTGTCAGGAAAATCAAACTTGAAGACTAATTGATTTATTCACTTTCTTCCTACCAAATTGCCAAGAAAATAATGAGGGCAAAGACGCTGAATGAAAGACAATAGGGTCCATACAGAGCAAAAAAACAATGACGCATGTTGTGAGTACCAAGATTAAAGCACTGTTCATAGGATGGAAAATAGATCTTGAAAATATTTCATTTGATAAGACCTGCATGTGTCTACTCAGAGCCTGTACAAATGATGAAGAAGCAGCTGTTGTAGCCCAAAGTCAGCTGTCTGTCAAGGCAAATGAGTTCTAAACCCCAACTTGGTCCTGCTTGACTAACTGTATTCTTCCAGAAAGCTTGGTGGTGCAGAATTGTTTTTTTGTCTAAATTGCAAAAGGGTAGCCTCTAAAGGCCACCTCTCTCCCCAGTTATAAAGCTTCATAGCATATATTTAAAATAGAGAATGAGAAGTTCATGCCTCCTGTTGAAGGCCAGAAGAGCTGGTGTTTTCATGAAAGTCACCTTCATGCTAAGTCTCATCATTGCTCACATTTCTGAGGTTTAGAAATATGTTCCCAAATGTCAGAAGCAGTAAAGGTAAGAAAGAAATAAGGCATTGGAAGGAAGTGGAAAAAAATCTCTTTAGACAGTCCATAAATAAACAATGACTTTGTGCTTTGGGATTACGGGTCATATACAAAAGTGTTTCATAGTCTTTTGAGCCCAGGTGGGGTCTGGAAAAATCAGGTTTCAAACTCAACTAGGTAAATAAATAACGAAGAATGGATGATACTTGGAGTTTCAGTTCCAATTGCAAATCCTCTTTAAAAATTGTTAAATGAATAAGGATCTTTACAGATTTAGAGATGTTTTCCAATAGTTTTCCAAACATAGAACAAGGATTTCACTGCCACTATTGAAGCAGGCAAGTGCAGAGATAGCTTATCAACCTGGGACTCAACTTGTCTTCACACACACACACACACACACACACACACACACACACACACACTTTTCCCAGCAATGTACTTAGCAGCATAGGAGCATAGGACCCTCACCTTCATCAAGTTGCATGTACACTCCACTTCAAACAATAGAGTTGCTCCTCCTTGACAAACCTATGGAAATACCCCATTTCTATTCAAACATGTCTTGATATATTAGAGGTGGGGGAGTAGGTATAGACCCGACACTATTTTTGGGTTCACATATATTAAGGTAACTGTGTCTTATGAGTGAACTTTTAGGGAAGATCCCTTATTTACTACCTTATGCCTATGCATAATTGGGCTTGCATATGATTAAAATAGGATAGGAAAATCATAGGAAAGGACATACACAGTAAATAAAGCTTACATTACCCAAGCCTGTCAATCTAAACAGAAAGACCCCATGCCTAGCAACCAAGTTTCCTCCTCTTGAATCCCATAAAAGAGGCCTCAAGCAATAACTGGGGCTCTTAGGTAGGTACTCGGGCTCAAGGAGCCTGTTCATCCTCTACTGTGTCTTTAAATAAAACTTGCTGCTTTGCAATTTCTGTGCAGTTTTTCGATTATTTTAATAAGAGGTCAAGAACCCAGAAACATCTTTTCCAGATGGTGACCATTGGAAATACTCTGATATTTATACCATGGAAGCTGTACAGTGTTTCCTGATGAAGTACTAACAAATTCAAACAGACACAGTATTAAGAAAGACTGTACACATTCAATTATTGCTGGTAAAAGCTTGTTCAAGAAGATAGTTGATCTCGAACTTTAGGCATTCACTTCTCACCATCATGATTATTACCACATTCCTCTATCAAATGTATATCTGGAGCCAATAATACCTTTTTTATTCACTTTATTTTTTTCTTTAAGCTCACTGATTTTCTCAACTCAAAACATCTAGATAGAAGACAGTATCTCTTATGGAAATGTAGAGGCAATTTTCCTTCATAAGAAGGGAATGAAAGGGTGCATTAACAAAATAATCTCAGTAACTCAGTGGATACTATTATCTGCCAAATGCTCTAACTTTGGGGCTTGCTCTAGTCTTTAAAAAAGGAAGGCGATTATGTACTGCAATTTATTAAGACAAGCTAGAACGAAAACAGTTTGATAGATAGTTTTCTGAGAAAGAGGTAGTACAGGAAGACAACTAAACAAAAAGAGGCTTTTTCATTATAGAAACTTAATTTTTAAGGATGAAATTTTTTAAGGATTTTTTTTATTTTATTTAAGGATATCTTTTGGATTATCACATTGCTATACCCAAGATGAAGATTACATATGATATATATGTATATGCATAACGTATATGTGTATATATACACAAATATATATGCCAAATGAATCAAGGTGGAGTAGTCAACATGTTGTACAAGCTTGTTATATAGCTGATTTCAAGTAAATCTTTTACTTACCATGTTCATCAAGTAAAATATTATCAGGTTTCATATCCCTAGGGGAGCAAAAAAGAAAAGATAATGTTGTTCATAATAAAATAAATAGATATAAAAGTAAAAACACTCAAGAGATCTTATTGAGAGTTGAAACAATGTAGAAGCATTTCATCCTGACAATACGATCCCAATATCACAGAATCCAAGAAACAGTTAATATTGATCTCTCCAATGTACAGTTTAGAAAATTGAGTATTCAGTAAAGGTCATAGATCAATAAATAGAACTGGGGCCTGAACCTGGGTTTCTCTCATCCACAAACAAAGACTCTTAATTGTTATGGCATGAAAGTATTAGTCTACAGGGATACATGGGACATTCACATTGCTGTAGAGTACAATGATTAACGCTAACTACTGCCTTCCTGTGCAACACTAGTTATACAGACGTTATGAGCTATGAAACAGGAGCAGTATTGGCTATGTTGTGGTTGTATTTTAAACTTGTGGAGATGAAACATCTTTTGATGGTTTAATGCCTCTAATTGTTTAATTATTACACCTAGAGTGGTAAAAGTGACCAATCATGTATGCATTGGAATATAACAAGATGATTAAAATTAATACACACTGTCTTATGAATTTGAAATTTGCTAAGAGGGTCAATTTCAGTCATGCCCACCCAAAACTTTAAAAGGTATTAAAAAGGCATGAGAGGGTATATCAATTTGATCGACAGTAATTTTCACTATGTATATGTTTATCAAAGCAGCATACTGTATACCTTCAAAACATACCTGTGTTATAAAAAGTGAAAAAATAAATAAAACAAAAATTAATCTGGAGGGGCGAGCAAAACCCACTCTCTTCCAATGAAAGGGATAGTTTGATGACAAATACAAAGACTGGGGCCTGACAGGGTTTTCGGTGTCCTCGTGATCTGATTACTCTGAGAAGTTCTCCTCAATCAAGGAATCAGCACTGTGGTTTATGACAACCACAATTCTCTACTGTCACATTTACACTGCCCTTCCCTAAAGTACCATTAAAACCCTTCAGCCTTGATTCCCAAGTGCCATTAGGAGCAAAGAAGTTCTGAAACAGGTTTTGGGAACACATTTTCAGCCTGGTCAAGTGGCTTTTATGTTACCAGAATAAAAAGTGACCTTAACTTTTGATAGACCAAGACCAGGCATTCTATTTTCTTGACAAAATTAATACACTTTTTAAAAGATCCCTTATTCATAAACAGAAATACATTCATGTTACATCCTGTACTTGGGGCATGGATTAACTTCTGAATATTGGAAATCTTCTCATTTCCCATGTTAGACTGTTAAAATCAGTTCTGAATCCATAGAGCAATCACCTTTATCT